GGCTTCCAACACAAACCAGGCTCCCTTGGAATAGGATTGCACCTGTATGCCCAGGAGCAAGAGCTCAAGGGCGCCCTCCTGGCCTCGGCCGAAGTGGTTGAGCAGAGCGCAGATGATGGCTTCACGTACTCGAGCAGATCGTTCTTGCGAGTACTGCTCCGTCAGCGCCTGGTGTACAGCAACACATTTGTGCGGCCACACATGCACCTGTGAACAAAACATTGGGTGGGGGGGGGGCAACAGAACTGAAGGGAAGACATGCCTTGAGCGCGTCTCCACCAGAGCTGGAGAGGAGCTGCGTAAAGTTAAGGTTGGCTGTTGCGTGGCGAATGGATTCCTCTGGATGCTGCAGCAGTGCTTGCATTTCCTCCAGTACTACCTGCTTGATCATGCTGAGAGCCCACGACCACCACTACTACCACCACCACATGCCCACAACACAAAACTGTTGAGCCGCCTGGTACCTGTTGATACAGATCACGTTTTGGCGTGTACTTGCACAGTTGCAGTCCGGCTAAATGGTGTCACATATGTGGGAGGTGTGGTCAGATATGACTAGTTCTTTGGTCTTTGGTTTTTGGGGTTGGGAAGTTGAAGTTGAAGTTGAAGTTGTAGCTGAAGTTGAAGTTGTAGCTGAAGTTGAAGTTGTGAGCGCCATACCCAAGACCATGTCGGGGTCACAGATATGCTGTCCGCGGAGGGAGAACAGCACCTCCACCAGTTTTTCCACCTCGTCATGTCCTACCTCTAACGCAAGACACACACGTACGACGTTACTTATTTGGGGGGCAAAGCAAGGTCGGTGAGGCGTGGTGGAGTTGTTTGCACCAATTCCAACGCTGTGCCATTGCAGAGCCTCCAACAGCAAGTCACCGCCGCGGAGCAGAAGAACAGCGACCTTGGCCATCATCGCCGTCGAACTGGCGGCGGCGGCGGCGGCGGCAGCGGGGTTGGAGGCCAGCTCGAGTGCGCGGCTGGCCCTCGATAGTACCAACTTCCTTTTCCAGAAGTTCTCAGGCATCCGCGCAGCAGCTGCGCCGAGCATAGAGTCGTGGCCGACCAGGCAGCTCGCCGCCACGACGAACACAGCCGGAGCTGGAGCTTCGGTCACCACCTCAGCACCGTCGAGAAAGGCGAGGGCAGCGTGCGGGCCTTGGCTTACGAAGGTCCACCAGAAGAGCTGCTCGATGGTCGGCCGCCACCCCTCTGCCACGCCTTCGACTTCTTCTTCACGGCCTAGTCGGAGGAGCTCAACGAGAGTCCGGACGGCATCCGCTGGTTGGTGGCGGTGGTAGTGGGCCGTCACCCAGTGTTTGATGCGCAGCGCCAGTCCTTCCTCCTGCTTCTCCCTCTCCGTCTCCATCTTCGGTTCTTTGTGGGTTGCTTTTGTTTTTGTTTTTTTTTAAGGTACCAAGGATTAATTTTAGTATTGACAATTTCGCGGAAAATATTTATAGGGAATTAAATGGTAAATATATTTCATGGTATGAAAAGACTTTTGCCTTCACCCAAAAATGTAGCGTACACGGAGGCATTGATTCACACGAAGGTTCGGGTCAGCAGACCAGGAAGACACTGTCCTCGCCGGCAACCAGCTGCGCCGGCACCAGCCAATTCTCTTTTTTGAGCTCACCGCAGCCGAGACCCATCACGCGCCCACTCTCGAACAGCACGGCCGATTGCCTGCGCAGCCGCCAGTCTCAGTTAGCCCCGCGGCGCACCGCACCGCACACACGAAAAATGAGAAGAAAAAAACCCGGCAGCCGCAGAGATGGCGCTGATGACGCCCAGGCCAGCCACGTCCTCGACCACCCACGGCACGCTCTCCACGGCGCCCTCGACATATCCCAGCTGCCCTTTCTGCACACATGCACCCACAGCACACGCACGACCCACACAACACACGTCAGTTCCTCAGGACAGAGCCGTTGCGTGTGGTGGCGGGAGAAGACTGGAAGTGTCAACGCGTACAAGCACGCGGCCGAAGGTATAGAGGGTGTTGTCCTCTGTGAGCACCAGCGAGTGCTCCGGCCCGCACGCCACCTGCGTCGCCTTGGCCGACGCCAGCGCGCTGATCAGCCTGGGCGCGTTGGCGTCTTGCTCGTCGCCGTGGCCCAGCCGACCGTGTACGCCCGAGCCCCACGAGTACACCTCACCTGCACCCGCGAGAGGCATCAAACCAACCGGTCGGCGCCAGCCAACAAAAGGAGGACAACATTCACCCGAATGCGCTCAACGGGGGAGGGACCTTGGGTGGTGATGGCAAGGCCATGGTTATAGCCCATGGCGGCCGACTTGATCTTGACGCCCGCGGGAAATTGCAGCGGCAGCGGCCTGCCGGACCGAGAGTCGGCGCGACCCAAGCTGCCGCTGATGAGGTTGCCACATTTGTCAGTGCCACGACACACGACACACAACACACACGAGGGGCAATACCTGCTGGAGACGCCGAAGGAGTAGAGCGTGCCCTCACTGTCGAGCAACAGTGTGACGGCCCTGCCGCACCACAGATCGACGATGAACGGCTTCACGCTGTCGTTGGAACCGATGGTCTGCACCTCCGCGGGTTCGAGCAAACAACCATCTGTGTTCATATTGCCTAGGCGGCCATTGCCCTGGTAGCCTGATATTTGATTGAGCAATAGTTTGCATGGGGTGGTGTGTGTGTGTGTGTGTGTGTTGTGTGTGTGTGTCGTGTGTGTTGTGTGTGTCGTGTGTCACGGAGACTGGAGCATTGTGGTCGTACCCCAGGAGAAGACCGTTCCACGATCGGATAGGGCGACACTGTGTGCGCCAGCCGCGCCCACCTGATAGAGCGAGCGGACGCCGTCGGTTGATTGGTAGGTTGCTGGACGACACTGTTGCGTTCAAGCGGAGCATGTGAGTGATCGGCTTCCCTTATACCTTGATTATCTTCTCGCTCAGCAGGGCGGAGACGATCTGCGGCGTGTAGGAGATGCCCGTGGTGTGGCCCAGGCCCAGTTTGCCATCAGCGTAATCACCAAACGCATACACCGCACCTGCATGCACACGACACACGACACACGACACACGACACGCGCATGACGTGACACAACCAGACATGTAACGGGACTTGAAACTGGGGGTGAGGTCACACGCACGTACCTGAATGAGTGACCGCGAGTGTGTGGTGTCGATCATATTTCTCGGGCGTGGTGGCGATGTGCACGATGGTCTCCGACGCCAGGGCCGAAATCATGCGCCACTGCCTGCTCGCCGACGCCTCCCCGCGGTCAACTACCACAAGCACTGCTTTAAATGGTGAGGTTTGGGGGAGTTGGTACATGGGGGCAGGGTCGAGAAGGCAGTAGCCGAGGCCGGCGTGGCCAACGGTGCCAATGGACAGGACGCGGCCACGAATCAACACGCGCGTCACTTCGCTCGCTCTGGCCAGCACTCTCCACCGCCTTGCCCACGGCCATTTTACGACCACAAAGAAAGTCAATATTTGTTCTTTACGTATTTGGTATTGGTTGGGGGGGACCTGCAGACGGCAGAGATGGAAGCAAGGTCGGTGAAGCGGAGGAAGCCAAACACAATGTGCATGAGTTCCTTGTCCACCAGCGCCACCTCGATGTTGTGCCTCTCGTCTTCCATCTCTTTCTCTGGCCCTTGCCAAAAATTTGTGTTTTTTCTTTATTTCTTTGGATGCAAAAATTTGAGTCTTTTCTTTTTAGTTTCTTTTCAGAGATCTGCGCCACCTTAAGGACACGATTCTGTCGACAACGGGCATGAGTTTACTTGAAGGAGACTTAGAGCGGTGCTTACGAAGCAGAAGACCCCGCAAGACGATACCAAGAGCGTTCCAGGCAGCGCCCACGACAGCTCCGCACGAGCGATTCGGCAAGGCCCCAGGTTCTTCTTTGATTTGTAAAGAAAAAGATGCCGAAGAAGAGGGAGAAGGAGAAGAATCATTGGCAGGTGCACTTGTGCGAGACCTGCTACCAGGAGCCTTGCGAGTTCTGCAAGGCCTGCGTGTGCCCGTGCGTCTACGCCGGCTGCCAGCGCTACGAACTCCTTGACCACAACCTCGACAACTACACCTGCTGTGCCGGTACTTTCGAGATTAAATTTTCAATAATTAAATCTGCATCAAGCCCCCACAATAATAATCGATGATTACCACCGAGCTCGATTATTGTGGCGGGTGCGTTAATATTAATAATTAAATAGACCAAATAAGGACGAAACAAATACAATCTTTTTATTGATATCAATTATCGCCCCAGGCATTTGTGGCGACTGCTTCGATCCGTGCACCTCGCCTTGCCCCGGCTGCTGCCTGGTCGTGGAGGTCTCCGTCTGCTGCTGGTTCGTCTCCTTTTTTTTTCGACTTCCTATGTTTTTCTCCTCCACGTGCTCATGCTCCCCCGTGGCCCATAGGTTGTCCATTGCCGGAAACCGTTCAATGATCCAGAACACCTATGGCATCAGGGTACCCGCGCGCCGACTTTTTAACTCCTCACACGCGGCCACGAGTCTGACGTGAGCGTCGTGTCGTGTTATCGTGTTGTGTCGTGCCGTGTTGTGTGTCGTGTCGTGTCGTGCGGTTGTTAAACAGAACACCAAGTGCGAGGACTGCATGATCTGCTGCGCGTGCGTCTTCTCGTTCGTGTGGTGCATCATCAACATCTTCTTCAACGTGCCCGATGGGTCGAACATGGTGGTGGACTGCTTCTACCTGGCCTTATCGGCGTGCTTCCAGTCTCAACAGCACGCCGAGATGGAATACCAGAGCAAGAAGCACGCACCCCACGAAGTCGAGATGAAGAAGATGTAAGGACCATTGTGTCTTCACCACCTTCATCATCACCATCACCACCTATCAGCCAGCATCTCTTTCGTCTTCATCACCTTTCATCATTCAATCATCTTTAGCATCAACACATCGTCGACGACGACGACGCTCGCCTTTACATTTGTGTGTGCGAATAGATTTACATTTGCCACCATCACCTGCCCAGAACTAGACCCACCACTTCTTGAAGTGGTGGTACCGGAGCTTGAGCTGGTCCTCGGCCTCGGCCAGGTGCAGGAGCTTGCCGAGCTGGTCCTCGGTCAGCTTCTCCGTGTTGCCGCTCAGCACCTCCATCACCTGCGACAGGTCGACCATCGAGATCTGGCCTACAAGCGTGTTGTGCGTCAGCACCGCACACGACACGACACGACACGATCAACGACACGACACACGCGCGCGTAGTACCCTTCTTCTCGCTGTCGAGAATCTTCCACACGGTCTTGATGTCTTCTTCTTCGGTGGGCATGGACATGAGGGTGGCGAAGTCGTCCCAGGTGAGCGGCTCCTCTTCCTTCGCCTTGTCCTTCTTCTTCTTCTTGCTCTTCTCTGTAATTCGGCATTGGGTTCGGTTGATGGTCACGTCGTCACCAGGAAAGAGAGTAGTATGGCAAACAAAAGATGATGAAAAAGATGAACGTACTACTCTTCTGCTCCTTCTGGGGTGCCGCTACGCCGAGCCTCTGCCTGGTGAGGTCCTGCACCGCGCTGGTCACCGTCTTCAGGTCTTCCCTGTTGACCTTCTGGCCTGGGGGTGGAAAATAACATATAAAAAACATATAAATAAAAATAACATCAACAACATAAAATCAATCTTATGCTCTATTTTATAAATAATCTTACGCAACATCTGCAAGGGCGTTTGGGGGCTGTTACCAACAGATTTGAGAACGTTCTCGAGTTCGGTAAGGGAGATGAGACCGTCGCCATCGGCGTCAAAGATGGAGAACGCAAGCTGCTGAACCTGCTGACTGTTTGGCTCGCCTTTGCCCTCCTTGCTCTTCCCCTTCTCAGCTGTGGCCCCTCCTTCCATCTTCACTTGTTTCGGTGATTTGTGATTATCTAATTTTTCTTTTATTTTTTTCGAGTTTTTTATTTTTGCATTTTTTTTTCCATCAACAGATGGGAGGTCTGTCCACCTTAGCCCACAGGCAGCCTGGAGTCTGGCACCCATAGCTGTTCGTCGCCCTCTCCTTCCGAGATCGACGAGGAAGCTGTTGATGATGATGAAGGGAAGGTGACCGCGATTACTGGCAGTGACTGCGGCACCTCGGCCTCGCCCGTGGTCGTAGCCCCCGAGGCGTTGGTGCTTGTCGAGCCCGCCCGCGACCTTCGCCCTCCATCTCCATCTCCGTTCGAAGCGTCTCCCGACTCGCGCAGATCTCTCAGCTCTGCCGCCAAGGCCGAGGCCGCTGACGTCGACGACGATGGTGACTGAAGAGGCGCCGCCGAAGACGAAGATGAAGGCGACGGCAGGGAATTGTTGTTGGACGATGATGGAGACGATGACGGTAGCAGTGAAGGCAGACGCAGCTGGGTGATGAACGACGTGCGCCGGGCCGAGGCCGGCGAACCGGTCACCACCGCGGCCGACACCGTACCGATGGCCGCCACGTCCGGCGTCAGGCTCAGCCCGGCCTGCTGGCGCGCCGACAGCGCCCCCGAGCCTGGGCCGCCGCCGCCGCCGCCGCTCAAAAAGTCGTCGGTCGTCGTCGTGGGCAGGGTGTGCAGGGTCGACGAGATGTTGGACATGAAAGGGCCGCGCCGGGGCGACGCAGTGGTGGCGGCCAGCAGCGCGGCCGACGACGACGCTGACAGGATGGCCAGGCCGGGCGCGGCGGCCGGCAGCGGCGTGGCGAGCGACGGCGGGGCGAGCGTGCTGAAGGTGCTGCGCCGCCGGGGCGCGGGCAGGAGGCTGTCGTATCGCCGGGCCTCGAGGAACGACGGCGAGGCCAGCGCGCTGCCGCTGCCCGAGCTGTAGCCGGCGCCCAACAGGGGCTGGTGGTGGTGCGGGCTCTGCAGCAGGGTGATGGACGACAGGGGCAACGAGGTCGAGGCGTAGGCGGTATCCCGGCGCCGCGTGAGCATCGAGTTCTCGGTCTCGCGGCGCACCAGCGGCGACACCGGCGTGCTCGCGCCCGACGCCGACGATGATCCGCCCACGGGCGTGCCGACGCCTGGAATCGCCATCAGCGGATTCACCGTCACCACCGTCGTCGGCGACGCAGGCACCGAACTGCCACCATTCCCGCCATTCCCGCCGCTATCGGTGCGATCGCCGTCGTTGTTGCTGTTGCAGCTGTCCCGGTGCGACCGCAGGAGCGGGATGAGGCTGGGCCGGCCGTCGGCGCCGGTCACGAAGATGCCGCTGCCGCTGCTGGCCTTATCCTTCTTGCCCGCCTTGCCGCCCAGTGACAGAGGCGGCGGGAGCTGCAGCTCCTTCGAGTCCTTCTCGTAGCGCATGTTGTACAGGGCCATGGCGACGATCTTGATGAAGTGGCTGTCAGCGGCCAGGCTCTCCTGCCCGCCCTGCGCGGCGAGCCGGGCCTCGCGGGCCTTGCGCTCCTGCCGCTCGCGCCGAGCCGACTCCCACGTTCGGCCGGCCGCCATCCGCCGCTCCTCGTCGGCCTCGCGCTGCACCCGCTCGGCGCGGTCCTCGGCCTCGGCCCGCCGCTGGCGCTCTTCAGCCAGCTCCCGCTCCATCCCGCGGCGCTCGTCGTTCCACCGCACCTGCAGCGCGCGGATCAGCTCGTCCATCATCTCCAGCTCGCGGTCGCGTCGCACGCGCCTCCGCTCCTCCAGCATCCGCAGGTACGGCCGATCGTCGGCCGCCGCCGCCCCAGCGTTGACTGCATTGGCTGCGATGGATGCGACCGCCGCGGGGACTCGCAGGGGCTGCGCGGCCTGCGACTGCGGCCTGAACAGGGTTCGCACGACGCTGGCGTCGGTGCCCCGACGGCTGCGCAGCGATGCCGTGTCAAAAGCCCCCGCATTGGGCGGCTGCGGCAGCGACGACGCCGACTCGACCGCGCCGACGCCGACGCCGACGCCGGGGTCGGCCACGGGCTCCGCCTCCTCGATGCGGGCGCGGGCGCGGCGCACAAACTCGAAGAGGTCATCCTTGCGGTCCTCGCGCGCCTTCTCGGCGGCCCACAGGTCCTGCTCGAGCAGTACGAGCGCGTCGAGCAGGCTCTGTCCCGATCGCTGGCAGTCGCCGCGCTCGCGTTCGAGCGTGGCCCGCAGCTCGCCGACCGCCGCCTGGGCCTTGGCCAGCTCGGCCTCCATCGCCAGCCGCCGGCGCTTGTGCAGGTGGCACTTCTCCTCGAGGAAGCAGATCATGGCCTCGTCGGCGGCGCTGGACTCGGCCCCCCGCGGCGGCGGATCCACCGCGGCCGCGGCCGCCGAGCCGTTGGGTATGATCTGCCGGATGAGCCGGCGCTTGAAGGCGCGCACCTCGTCCTGCGTCATCGGGTGCTTGAGCTGCGCCGGGTTCTCCTCCGATTTGACCACCACAATGCCTGCACACACTCGTCAGCTCACTCCATCGCACACGCACACAGGGCACACGACAGGGTGGTGGTACCTGTGGGTCCACGGTGGACCTGGGCGTAGAGGACCATCTTGGCCTCGGCGACGGTGAGGTCCGCGGGCTTGCCGCCCAGCCGGCCCATGCGCCGCAGGGTGGTGGTGATGGCCTCCAGGAACTGCACGCGGTCCTCCGACGGGTTGAGGCCCTCCTCGTTCATCCCCTCCTCTGTCTTGCTCCGCGGCAGCCTAGGCCTCTTCCCCCCACCGCCGCACACCTCGCACACTCTCGTTGCCGACGCCGACGGCGCGTCACCACCACCGCTGGTGGAGGCTTCTTCGGCGTTGAGCGCGTCGCGGATGCGTTCGATTTCATGTCGCTGGTGGTTGAGCGGAAGCATCTTGCCCAGGCGGGCCAGGGCGTCGCGCGAGAAGGTGAGGCTCTGCGGCGCCTTCTCGACGAACTGGGCCGGCACGTAGCCCGAGCGGCCGGAGACCCGGGCGCGGAGCCAGCCCATGATCGGCTCCTCGTCGCCGCCGGCGACCAGCACCCGTTGGCCCTTGCGGAAGCTCAGCTCGTGCTCGGCCTCGCCGACAAAGTCGAACAGCGCGAGGTACTCGCACCACTCGCGCACATTCAGGTGGTGCCGTGTAGGGATGTCGCCGCTGCTCACCGTGAGCGCAGCCGCTTCGCTGCCGGTGGCTGTGCCGCCTCCGGGGGTGGTGTGCGCGGTGGGCGTGCGTAGGGCGTCGTTGGTTTTGGACCGCGCATGCCGGGGGTCCTCGGGGGTGACGCACAACCAGCGGCGGACTCGTTCTCGGACTTGGGCTTAGTGGCTTCGCATTCGTTTTCGCCTTCGATGGCGTCGTGGCCCCGGGTGTCGCTTTGGCTTTCGCTTTTGACTTCGTTGTCTGGCCGTTCTTGTTGCTCTTCGGCAGGACCCGTCGTCGTCGGCTGACCGTCGCCGCTGGCCATGATGTCCGTGGTAGAATGCCGGCGCCGGGTCGACTTACGGCGCGGGTGGGCCTCCTCGATGTGGTTGTGTCGCATCGACTCCGAGCGGCTGATGATCAGCGAACCCGAGTGCGGACCCACCGCCCCCATCGAACCCGCCGCATAGCCTTCACAGCCACCACCGCCGGCCTCGGCCTCTGCTCCACTCTCCTTATTGTTAGCGGTCGTGGGGAGTGTGGGCGCATCGGGCGGCGTGGGCAGCTCGGGCATGGTGCGGCTGTGGAAGTGGCTCTTCTTGGGCGGCCGCAGGGTCGCGCTGCGGAATGGAACCGTGGCAGTGGGCGGTGCGGGTGTGCCAGGTTCGCGACCGGGCGATGAGTGGCTAAGCGGCTGCGCCAAGGTGGCGGCTTTGGGCATGGTCAGTGCCTCGTCGCTCTCGCTCGCGTCGAGATCCTGATGACAAACATGAAGACGAAGAAGTTAATTCTGAGAAGGTTACATGATGGTGGAGGTTGATACGAGGTTGCTGCGCTTCTTCTTGCGCTTGCGGACGGTCATGATGGTCTTGGAGAAGCCGATCTTGAGGTTGTTGAGCGCTGCACCGCCGTGTCCGCCGGCCTGATCGCAGCCTTCTGCTCCCGCGCTCGCCGTGGCCTTCTTCTCCTTCTTGAGGGTCTTCCGGTCCTTCTTCCGCTCCTTTTCGGTCTGCGCCCCTTTCTCGTCTTCGCTGCTGCCCTTGGCCGGCGACTTGGCCTGGCGCGAGGCGCCCGTGAAGAGCGAGGCTCCGCGCTTGAGTGAAAGGCCGCCGCTCTTCGACTCGCCTCTGGGCGTGGTCTCCTCTGAGTCCGTAAAGTCCACGTCTTCGGAGGTCGAGCCCTGTCATACACACCTCTCAGCACCTCAGACGCACAAACATGTCCTCTCAGTATGCAGAAAAAAAAAATGATACTACCTCGTCGTCGTGCTTGTAACGATGATCGCCCATCATCTTGTTTGATGAAGCCTTGATACAAATAGGAAAGTGGTTCCTCAACAAGTACAGACGGCACCAAGGTACGTATACTGCTACCGTCTTCTGTAATGGTGCTGTCTGTGGCGGTGGGATCTCTTCTTCTCTTGATCCACCTCGACCGCGTTTTTCTTGTTTGGCGTGGGGGCGTGGAGCAACCGCTGGAGTTACGAGTTTCTTTCCTTGTTTCCCACTTCTTTTTCGTAATTCTGTAAATACAGCTGTTTGACATTCCCTAACATTTGCCCTTCAAAGGACCGATGCAGCAAAAGAATTTAAATCATTCAACAGTTGGTGATCTTTGAAGGGCAACAGAACCCCGAACGAACACGCGACGGCGACATCAGAGATCTTCTTCTCCTCTTCTACTTCTCAATCTCTTTCGCTCCCTGCTGCGTCGTCATGGCCTCAAAAATCTCATCTACGCTCTCAAATCAATCACACTCTGGTCCCCCCACTGGCGCACAAGATGATGGAGATGGAGGTGATGAAGTGGTCGTGATCCTGCCGCACGAGAAGAGCGGCCTGTGGAGCGCCTTCGTGAACCTCCTCACGGGGGCCATCGGCGTGGGCATCCTCTCCTTCCCCTACGCCTTCAAGTCGGCCGGCCTCGTCGGCATCACCGTGCTGGGCCTCCTCTTCGCCGCCCTCAACGCCTACACCCTGTGGCTCCTCGCCCGCTACGCCCACCGCCACGCCGCCCACCTCGTGGCCCACCCCACCTACGAGTCCCTCGTCCGACGCGTCCTCGGCCCACGGTTTGGCTTTCCCGCCTTTTTTTCCACTACTCGTCACTAACGGTCGTGTGTCGTGTCGTGTGTGCGGTTGCAGAGCGTACGCCGTGGTGGAGGCCTGCATTTTGTTCAACACCGTGGGAGCGCTGTCGGCGTTCCTCATAGTCGTGGGCGACCTCGTACGACACGCCACCGCACGCCACACACACACACACACACACACGACACACACACACACGACACAAATAATGATTCGCCTGCCGACTGGGTGAACGTCACAGGGCCACGTGGTGCTGGAGGAGTGGTTGCACAGCACCAGCGTGCCGGACTTCTTCTATTCGAAGACGTGCGTGGTGCTGGTGTTCTGCTTCTGCGTAGCCCTGCCGCTCTCGCTCTTCCCCCACATTCACGACCTCTCCTTCTCCTCTTTTCTCGCCGTCGCCTCGGTCTTTGTCGTCGCTGGTACCGCACACACCGCACACACAGCACACGCCGGCCGAACACGCGCGACCGCACTCACTCATGGCACACACGACACTCACGACACACACGATAGGGATGGTGATCGCCCGAGGGATAGAGTCGTGCGTCGATGGGAGAATGGCAGACGGCCAGCGGCAAGAAGACGCCGTGGTCGTGTTCAACCTACAGTTTGATTTCTTCCTCGCGGTGCCGCTCGTTGTGTTCTCCCTCGGCTGCCATCTCCAGGTGGTGCCCGTCTACCACTCCCTCAAGGTCCGCGACGCACCGCACACGCAACACACACGCACCGCACGCACCGCACACACACCACACACACACACACACACAGAGAGAGAGACGGCTAATGTGATGGCTGATGTTTGGTGGGCGCAGAGGGAGAAGAAGCCCTGGCTGGGGCCGACCCTGGTGGCCAGCGTAATGACGTGCATCTGCGTCTACTTGGCCACCGGCGTCATGGGCTACCTCCGATTCGGCAACGACAGCCAAGGGTACCCACACACCGCACACACCGCACACGCACACACCGCACACGCACACGCACCCAGCTGATGTCAGCTGCACACAGGGACATTCTGGGCAATTTCCCGGTGAGCGACATCATGCTGGACGTGGGCAAGCTGCTGATGGCGGCCCACATCTCGCTCGCCTACCCCGTCAACCTCTACCCGTGCACCAAGTCCGTCCAGCTCCTCCTGACCCTCCTCCCCATCCCCTTCTTCAAGGTGCGCACACACACACTCGTGTCGTGTCGTGTCGTGTCGTGTCGTGTGTCGTGCGTGTCATTGCTCACACGCGGCTGGCGTAGCCGAAGGAGGAAGGCAAGGAGGGCTTGAAGGAGAGTCGGTGGCGCGCGGTGGTGTCGCACTGGGCCATCACCCTGTGCCTGATGGGCCTCACGGCCGGCCTGGCCATCCTGGTGCCCAACATCCAGATCGTGTTCGGCCTGATCGGCAGCACCACGGCCGTCGTGCTCAACTTCATCACGCCGGCCCTCATGCTCCTGGTCTCGCCCCTCTCGCTGCCCTACGACGGACACGGCCCTGCTGGGCATCAACCCGGACGCCGACGAAGAGGTCCGCATCTCGCTGTCGTTCACCACCAACGAGGCCGACGACGATCGGAATCATCACCATCATGGCCGGCATCATCTGCAGCGCGAGTCGTCGGTGGCATCGACGTCGACGTCGACGTCGGATCGCGCGCCGCTGCTGCTGGTGCACCGGCCCACGCCGCCCTCGCGCAACATTTGCGCCACGGCGGCGATCGAGCGGGTGGTCGCCGTGAGCATCATCTCGCTCGCGCTCCTCATCGCCATCTGCGGCACCGGCGTCAACATCTACCAAAATTTCTTCTGAATTACACCTCCTCTGTAAATAATTACAAAAATAATTATAATGAATATACAAATAAATGAGCAACTAAACAAAAGAATTCATAATCAAAAACAAATCAATAAATAAATACGAATTATTATTATTGCCAGGCAATAAAAATCAGAGCTTCTTGAGGAGCTCGACGACCTTCTCGTGTCCGTTCTTGAGGGCCTCGTCGTAGGCCGATCGGCCATTGAACTTTACCTTGGCCTGGACCCGCCACCACACACCGCCGTCGAGTCAGATGAATGAGGTGCGCGCTGCGAGACTCGGCGGGCGTGAGAGAGTAAAACGTTACCTTGGCCTTGTGCTGGGTGAGGAGGTAGACGATGGAGTGGTGGCCCTTCGACGCCGCGATCCACAGGGGCGTGGCCGCGCCTTTGGCCTTGGGATTGGCTTGGGCGCCTGTCGCGGACGTCACGCAAATGAGCACACGCACACACACGCGCCCACACGCACACGCACACGCACACGCACACAGCTTGGCATTTACCGTTCTTGAGCAGAAGCGCGCACACGTCGTAGTGGCCCTGCGCGCAGGTGATGAAGAGCGGCGACAGGCCCGACTTGGTGGTGTAGTTGACCCTGAAACGTGTGTGACGATGAGTCTTAGTGGGGGAAAAAAAGCTGCAGTGGTGGCGCGTACTTAGCACCGGCGTCGATGAGCATGGAGCATATCTCCCAGCTCCCAGCCTTGGCAGCCACACAGAGCGGTGTGAGCAGCGTGTTCGTTTCGCAGACCTCCACTTGCGCTCCTGCATGCATAGCATGCGGCACACGCGGCACACACGACAAGACGGTGAGCGCAAGCCAGACGTGGAAACACAGCCTTTCCCATGGATCGCACCCTTATCCAGCAGATGTCGCACAACTTCGGGGTGGTTCTTGAAGCAGGCCACCCATAGCGGCGTCACACCGTCCCTAAGCATGTGCGTGCGTGTGCGTGTGCGTCGTGTGCGTCGTGTGCGTCGTGCGTGTGTTCGTGTGTCGTGTGTCGTGTGTCGTGTGTGGTGGGTGTCGTGTGTGGTGGGTGTCGTGTAAGTGAGCGCAGACAGTCAAAACTGAACCGGAAGAAGCGGATCCGTACTCGCGAGCAAGGTGAATGTCGGCTCCCTGGTCGATGAGCGACATCACAATATCGCCGTGTCCAGTCTCGGAAGCACTGAATACAGGCGTCATTCCCAGCTTCTGGTCCCGAGCATTCACCTCGGCTGTGGCCATAATCATCAGTCGCGTGCGTGCGTGCGTGCGTGCGTGCGTGCGTGCGTGCGTGCGTGCGTGCGTGCGTGAAATTGTCAATACCTTTTTCGCCGTGCGGGTTGGCCATGAGCAGCTGGCACACGTGACGGTGTCCATTCTGAGCCGCGATGTGGAGCGGGCTCACGCCATCCTTTCGCGAGGCGTTCACCGCGGCGTTGGCCTCCAGCAGCATCGTCACAATGTCTACTCGCATCCGTGCGTCAGCCACACGACACCACACGCACGACACGACACGACACGACACGACACGACACGCACCACCATGCCCGTTTTGGGCAGCCACGTAGAGTGGGCTCACGCCCTGGGAATCCCTCGCGTTCACTTCGACCCTGCACGCGTGCCCACACCTGCGCTTGAGCTCAACTTCAGCTGAAGGCGAGGCCCAGCGTAGGCGGTACGTACCCCTTCTTAAGGAGGTGGCTGACGATTTCGGTGAACCCGTTCTGGCAGGCGATAAAGAGGGGCGTGGCGCCGTCCTTCGATATACAGTTGGGGTCGGCACCCTTCTGCAGCAGGTAGTCGACGGCCTCCTCCTTGTTGTAATTACAGGCTATATACAGCGGCGTGACATCTGCGTGATGTACATTAGAATCATGTGTGTTGCGTGTGTGTCGTGTGTGTCGTGTGTGTGTCGTGTGTGTGTCGTGTGTGTGTCGTGTGAAGAGAGTTGCGTACTGTTGATATCTACAGCATTCACATTGGCGCCGTTCTTGACCAGCAGGTCGAGCATCGAGATCTTGCCATAGCGAGAGGCCCAATGGATTGGCGCCACCTTCGTATCTTTACACGAAATTACTAAAGCGTTAGCGCATGTGCGGTCGTGCGTGCGTGTGCGGTCGTGTACGTGTGCGTGTGCGGTCGTGTGCGTGTGCGTGTGTGGTCGTGCGTGTGCGGTAGTGCGTGCGTGCGTGTCATTACCAAGTGTCTCGATGTTGACGTGGGCCAGCTTGGCCTCGCCGATGAGGTAGCGCACCATGTCCTCGTCTCCCTTCTTGATGGCGATGCGCATGGTGTTGAGCCCGTCGTAGGCCGTAACGATCTCGTGTCGCACCAGGGCGCGGGCCACCTCCATGTGCCCGTGCTTGACGGCCTCGAACAGGGGCGTCTTGCCGAACTTGTTGCGCATGGCGCTGTAGTGCAGGAAGGCGTTGCGCTGGTACCCGTTGATGAAGATCGTCTTCGTGCTCTTTCGCGCCAGGGCCTCCTCCACCACTGCATCCACGATCACGTACAATCCCTTCGATACCGCCCTGTCGCACACACCGCACACACCGCACACACCGCACACACCGCACACACCGCACACACAGGGTAAATGCACGGCAAGAAAGGGAGAGAGACGGGAGAGAGTACCACTTGAAGCGCTTCTCGATGGTGGAGAGGCCGTTGCCGAACGAACGCAACTCGCGCACGTGCTGCTTGAGTGTGTCGCGCCATGTCTTGTCGCCCTCACGCGGCCCGCCGAAGTCCCGATCGTGCACCGCCTTCCACGGCTGGCTCTGCAGGGCGACAAACAACATTGTTTTAATATTAATAGATAAATTAAAAAATGTTTTATTTATTGAAATATATAATTAATTCATAGAATTATTCTTTGCATTTTAAAATAAAAAAGAAAAAGAAAAGAATACCTGGTCTTCAACGCAGTAGGTGCGCCACCGGAGGCATACGAGGTTCTGGAGGAATAGGTCCTTGGGCTGCAGGAACGACCACACCATCTGCTGCAGCTCCAGTGGCAGACCAAACCACACACAAGCCTGCTCCGGTCTCACCCCTCCCGCCGCTTTCCCTGGCACCACATCTCCCTCCTCCATTCCTTCTACTTCTTCTTCCTTCGTTGTAGTGTTCTTTTCTTTTTCCTTCTTTTTGTTCTTCATTTTCTCCTTCTTCTTCTTCTTCTTTACCACCTTCTTCACCACATCTTCTTCATCGGGCACCTGCACCTCCATCATGACGCCGCTCGACAAGCTGGAGCGCAGTGGCTGCGGCCCGCAACGTTGCCTAGGGAAAAGAGTAAACAGCAGGCCAGGAAATTAAAAAGGAAATTAGCTTTAGAGAAAATCAAGAGAAAATATGAGCTCCGACGTTAGTGGAATGGCGGACGTATTTGAGTGAACTGAGGCGCTTCCTTTGTGGTCATTCACACTCTTGGAGCAACAACAGCAACACCAGTAGCAGATATGTCGGTAGCAGTGGGCACGAGCATTGATGCGCACGTCAGCAAGGTCTTTCAGGTTGGTTCATTTCATCTTTTCCCCCATCTTCATCTTTTTTTCTTCCCCATTTGCTCCCCATCTGCTCTGCGCGGCTGATGCGCGTGGCCTCTTTCCTTGTGGCCCTTCTTCGTGCCGCAGGAGATGAAAGCGCACTCGCTTCACCGATTCATCATAGCAAAGATCACACCTGACTGGACCACTGTGGAGGTCCCTCCTCCTCACCACCTCCCTCCCTCCATGACCAAGAGTCTAAACGCAACACGCAACACGCACACAGATCGAATATCCGCCAAAGCCGTCGCCGGAGCTGCAGCTGGCGTGCGACATGCTGGAGCGAGGCAAGCACAGAGGCTCAGCTGAGGCCTCTTCGCACGATGACGACGAAGCCATGGCCGAGTTGATCGGACCCGAGCTGGCCGTACTTCCGCCCGAGATCTTCACCCACGTGCTCGAGTTCTGCTCCGCCAAGTCCCTCACCGACTTGGCCGCCACGTCGTCTTACTGGTGCGCCACTGCAACACACACACACGACTCAGATGCGACACGACACGACACACACGACGCTCACATTTGGCATGCAGGCGCAATCGCGTCGTCTATGATCGGGACCTGTGGCAGAAGATCTCCGACAAGGAGCGACAGAAGCTGGTACGTGCAGCTTTCGTCACACTGGAAAGCGATCGCGCCGCACACGCACACGTGCGGGGCTGAACGGGGCATTTGACACGCCCAGGGTATGGGATGGAACCAAAGCTGGGAGGACATGACATCCAAGCTGCCGCAAGATGACTGCCGCTTTGTGGTCTACATGTGGGAGCGCGACCCCAAGCGGTTCATCCCGCTCTTCATCATCTGGTACGAGGCATTGCTCTTCTTCTTCTTCATCATCATCATCTTCTTCTTCTTCTTTCGTCATCGTCGTCGTCGTTCTTGGTGTCTCCCACAAAGCTGGGTGTGACCCTCCTCCCACAACAGGGCGCCCGATGGCAGTCGCGTCAAGGCCAAGATGATCTACTGCTCCACGGCCTACACCCTCAAGTACGGCTTCTTGGCACTTGCCGCGGCGGTGAATGGGGCGTGGCTGTGCGCAGCTTGGCTAACCCGACTTGTTCCCGGTTTTGTTTGCTGGGGTCGGTCTCGCTGCAGGCGTCTTCTCGACGTAGCTGCTGAAGTGCAGGCGACGTCGTTTGAGGAGCTCAATGCCGCCTTTGTTGAGGACACCCTCAATGTCCGTGGGTCGGTGTAGGACACTGGGACGACTCCTCACGTTTCCTTCCGCCCCAGTTTGTACACAGTTTGTACAAAGCGTGCACGCGCAGAACATATCATATCTCGATTCGTGTGTGACAAATCGTGGCACACGCCCAAGCTCATCACCCGCACAATACACTTTAATATACTAGTCTTCTTCATTCTCACTCTCAACCCACCCCAGCCATCCGCCACCACCACGGAAGCCATCATCATGACCCACAACACCACCCACGTCTTCAACTGCTGCGCCTTGATCGCGTGCGGCCTGGTGCTCTTCTCACTCCAGTGCTTCTCCTTCTCCGGAGGACAGGACGGCGTCGGTGGCCATCTGTCGGCGATCGGCCTCTGGCCCCTCGTCACGGCCGCCTTGCTCGTGACGACAGGTTGCATCGGGCTCGTCGGCTACGTCGCCCGAAGCCTGGCTTGCGGCCTGCTCTACGTCGCCGGCGTCATCGTCTTCCAGCTCGAGGGTGCGTCAACCGCTCAACCTTCTTCTTCCACATTGGACACAATCTCATGTGGTCACGCAGTGGTCGGGGTAATGACCTGGGCCATGGCCAGCGCGAAGGCTCACCAAGCTGACTACGTGGCTCTTGGGTGCCTGATCTCATTGGGGGCCATGCTCTTCTACGCGGGTCTGCCGAGAGCCACCAAGCCCGAGCGGAAGCTGCTGCGTGCCCTTCTCTCCATCGAGTAGGGCACTGGGAAAAGGAGTGTTAAAAAAACTCGGAAAAAAAGAAAGAAAAAAGAAACCAAAAGGCAAAGATGGAAGACAGGAGCGAACCAAAGAAGGGCGGATTCGCATTCTGGGAGCAAGTGCTTGGCAGACCGCGACACATCCTCGCCCCCATGGTCCCTTCCCCGTGCCCCCCCCCCATTTTTATTTTATATGTTAAAATATAAAGAATATAAAAATATCACTCAACCCAAACGGGTCGGCAGGTGGACGGGAGCGAGTTGGCGTATCGTGCCCTGTGCCGGGCCTACGGCGCGCAGGTGTGCTACTCGCCCATGCTCCACGCGGGACCCTTCCACGCCGATCCCTCCTATCGCGCTCGCCACCTCACCTCTGCGCCCGGTGACCGACCCCTCATCGTTCAGGTACCACCCCAGCTCCCCTCCGTGACCTTCTGGGCTGGGCTGGGCGTGTGCGCTCAGGCCCGAAACTAGTCTCACACACCGCATGCGCACAACACACCGCAGTTTTGTGGTAACGACCCCGAGGAGATCCTCCAGGCCGCGCTGCTCGTGCAGGATGAGTGCGACGCAGTCGACAGTGCGTACAACCCGTGTGTTGTGTGTGTGTCGTGTGTGTCGTGTGTGTTGTGTGTGCCGTGTTGTGTTTCCTTGAGTTAAGCGGCTCACGTGAGATGTCGTCCATCGACCAGTCAACTTCGGCTGCCCGCAGAAGTGCGCGCGTAAGGGCAACTTCGGGGCGTACCTCCTCCACAACTGGCCGCTCATGGAGGCCATCGGTACTCACAACGCCCGTCACCGCTCATTTCACGCCTTCGGCTGTTTGCTCAATATGCGGCCTCGTCTTGCTCTTCCTTCAGTGTCGACACTACACAAGAACTTGTCGATCCCCGTGTGCTGTAAGGTGCGCTTTCCTCGCGTCTTAACGCACTTCTCATTCGTCAATCACACACACGCGCGCGCGTGTTGATGTCGTATTCTTTTAGATCCGATTGCTTCCCAAGCTGGAGGACACCATCAAGCTCGCTCTCGTCCTCCAGAACGCCGGCTGTCAAGTGAGTCCCCCCCCCGGTCCCCGCCAGAACAATCGCTTCGTTTTCGTTCTTTCGTTCCTTCGCTTACTTCTCTTTTATTTTATTTTATTTTTTTTTATTTTTCACTATTTTTTTGTACAGGTGCTGGCGGTGCACGGCCGAACACGGGAGAGCAACAGCAGAGGCCCGGCCGACTGGGCCGCCATCCGACAAATCAAGTGCGTGCCCTCGCTTCCCCCCCCCCAACCACCACTCCGTCCGCAGGTGAATTGGGCTCACGATGGACTGTGTGCGAAACCGAAAAGAGAGGCGCTCTCGATACCGGTCGTGGCCAATGGCGGCGTCGATGAACTGGAGGACGTGGAGCGCTGCCTCAACGAAACGAAAGCCGACGCGTACTCGCTCACCTTACCGCCCTATGATGTGTGTCGTGTGCCGTGTCGTGTGTCGTGTCGTGTGTCGTGTTGCGTGCGTCGCGTGCGTTGCGTGCGTTGGGTTGAGCTGAACAATTATCAATGGTTGCAGGGTAATGGTGGCGTATCCGGCGCTGCTCAATCCTCGCTTCTTCGGCGGCGGTGAGAAGGCCGACGGGGTGGAGCTCCTGCACGAGTACCTGTCCTACGTAGAACGCTACCCGGCCCAATCCAAGACTATCAAATCGCACGCACGCAAGCTGCTCAAACCAATGTACGCACACGACACGCACAACACGCGCGCGACACGGCACATGACACACGGCACACGACGCACGACACGCACAATACGCGCGTTTACGATGGGTCGAGCGCAGGTGGGGCAAACACAAGGACCTGCGGGAGCAGCTGGAGGCGTGGGACGAGCGGGACCAGGCCATCGCCTCGGTGGTCCTGCGAATAGCGCAGGAGCTCAAGTACCGCATTGACGTACGCGCCCACTACGCCACCCATCATCTTTCTCTTCTTCACCATCTTCCTCTTCATCTTTTCGTACCAACCCTGCTTGCTTGCATTCGCGTAGAACGGGATCGAGGTCGACCTCAAGCCACCAGAGGCCGAGCTCGAAGAGGGCGACGGCTACGCGCTCTTTGGACCTCAGGCCGACGACGACTACTAAAAATTAAAGATAATATTTAAATATTTATATCTATTTCTATTTAACATATTATTATCCCTAGTCTTACAGAAAACATTTGATTGCAGTAGTTTACAAGCCAATGGGCCACAGCTCGGGGCTGACTCAGGGCGCGGCGAGTCGGGCGGCGCCGTCGTGGTCGTCGTCGCCCACCTGCCGCGCAAGGAAGTCCACGACATCGTTGAGCCGCGGCCGCTTGGCGGCGTTGGCGTGCCAGCACTTCTGCATGACCTTGCGGAACTCGGGCGGGCAGTCGTTGGGCACCGCCGGCCGCCGGCCCTCCAACACGTCGAGCGACACGCCCATGAAGTTGCGCCCGGCGAACGGTTCCTTGCGGGTCGCGACCTGCCACATGATGATGCCGAACGAGAACACGTCGGCCCGCTCGTCGTAGTTGCGCTCACCGCGAATGATCTCCGGCGCGGTCCAGCACGGCGTGCCGCAGCGGGTCATGGTCGCGTTCTCCTCCTTGATCCGCGCGAACCCAAAGTCGGCCACCTTCACGTTCCAGTTCTCGTCCACCTGTACACCGTGTGCGCGTGTGTTGTCAGACACCGTCGCACACACCGACCGCACACGCGCGTCGCACACACCGCGGCCGCAGGAAGAGAGAGACGTACGAGGAGGTTGGAGGGTTTGAGATCGCGGTGGACGATGACGGGCTGGAGCGAGTGGAGGTAGTTGACGCCCAGGGCGGCGGAGCGGAGCAGCCGCAGCTTCTGGTTCCAGGTCAGCTTGACCGAGCTGGTCCCCAGGATGTCCTTCAGACTGCCCTGCCGCATGAACTCCGTCACAATGCACAGATTCGGCTTCTTCACGCACGCCCCTGCTCGCGTGTCGTGCCGTGTGTCGTGTGCGGTGAGTGTCGTGTGCGGTGAGTGTTTGACAGCACACGCACACGCACACACGGTGGGTTGCGTACCGATGAAGAGAACGATGTTGGGGTGGTGCAGCTCGGAGAGGAATGCCATCTCGGCGCGGAACTCGAGCATGCGGCGCTCGTCCAGCTTCTGCTTGATGAACCGCTTCACCGCCACCTCGACGCCCTTCCACTTCCCGCGGTAGACCACCCCGTACGACCCGAGCCCGATCTGCTTGCCCACCTGGATCTCGCCGTAGTTGATGATCCATCGGCACAGGTTGGCCGACGTAAGGAACGTGTCCTCCTTGAACATCATCCCCTCGCCCACAGTGGTCTGCAGCTGCTGACCGCCGCCGCCTACGCGCCTACGGCGACTGCTGGGGGGCTCGTCGTCGCTCCGGCTGGAGATGGTCGAGCCATCGTCGCCGTCGCCGTCGTTGCTGGTCTCCTTGGTGACACCGCCGAAGAAGCGGCCCTCGAGCCCGACCACCTTCAGCTCGTACAGCTTGGCACCTGCGGGAGCTGACGTGTCAGCTTCAACAATCTTAAGAATGGTGATAACGCAGGGGGGGTACCGCCGGGCGCGTCGGGCATCTCAAAGCGGCCCATGGCGACGAGGCGCTCGCACAAGTCGACCGGCGCAGGTGCGGCGGCAGTGGCGGCTTCGTCGTTTCCGGCTGCGGCGGGCTGCTCGTCGAGGTGGAGCCGCGCGTGGACGGCGTGGCTGAGCACGATCTGGCCGCCGTGGGTCATGGCCGTGATGCGCGCGGCGGTGTTGACCACCGGCCCGATGTACTCCACGCGCCGGGTCATCGGATCGCGCACCACCCGCGCCGACCCAAAGTGAACGCCCATTCGCACCCGCAGGCCCTTATATAACACGCTATTTGTGGAATGCAACACGCAACACGACACGCGCAGGTGAGCGAGTGAGAAAGAGAGTACGACACGCGCAAGGCACGATGATGATGATGGGAGTACCGATCGTCGGTGTCGCCCCACTCCTCGGCGGCGCCCGGGTGCTCGAGCAGAGCCTCGGGCCAGTCGGCGGCCAACAGCGCGCGCTGGACGTCGTCGCACCAGGCCAGCGCGTCGCTGGGCTGCTGGAAGGCCATACAGAACGAGCCCTCGCCACTGTTGCGGTCGCGCAGGAAGGCCACCTCGTAGCCGCGGTGCCGACGCAGCGCGGAGCGGAGCACTTCGTTGTGCAGTAGCGTGGCGTCGCGCATGGCGGCCGGGTCGAATTCCCAGAGCGAGGCGGCGCGCGTGATATCGGAGAAGACGATGGTGACCTCGCCCTCGGGCGCGCGGAGGCCCGCGGCGCCAATCACGGGGGCACCGGCCGCCGCGCGCTCGCCCGATTGGCCGCCGTCGGAAGAAGACCCGCCGTCGGAAGACGACTGGCCTTGCGAGCTGGTCCGCTGGTGCTTGGGGCCGAAGAGGTCGTCTTCGGTGTGGCCCGACGACGAAGTCGAGGTCTTGGAGGTCATGGAGAGGCCGCCGGCCGACGAGTCGCCGTTCAGGGTCGACAGCCGGGTCATGATTTCGAGGAATGTGGGGCGGATGGTGGGGTCCTGGTGCCAGCAGGCGGTGATGAGTTCTTCGAATTCCACGGGACACTGCTCCTGCGCCTCGGGCAGGGCGGGCCGCAGCCCGTCGCGGATGACCGCCACCGCCACGGCCGCCGGGCTGTTGCAAGGTAACCGTCAACGTTGGTCAGTCTTCCGGTAGCTATGCAACAAACTAAACCAGGAAAGGGGGAGGTGATCACCTCATTCCGAGATAGGGTTCTTGGCGGGTCAGCAGCTCCCACATGATGACGCCGAAGCTGTAGACGTCGGCAAGGATGAGATCGGCGTCGGGTGCCTCGTTCAAGACCTCGGGCGCGGTCCAGTGCACGCTGCCGGCCACGTCCTTTCCGCCGCCGGTCTTGATCTCCTCCTTGAACTTGGTCAAGCCAAAGTCGCTTACCTGGTGCGTGTGCGTGTGCGTGTGCGGTAGTGCGTGTGCGTGTTCGTGTGCGTGCGTCAGCACAACACATTAAAACACGCAACACACGCAACACCATATTGGAACCTTAATGTTCCACTTCGAGTCGAGAAGAAGATTGAGCGACTTGAGATCGCGATGCACGATACCTGGCGTGCGAGTTGTGTAAGCCTCATATAATGGGTCTGGCGGACACACAAACAAACAGGCGGACGTACCAGAGGAGTGGAGGAAGTGCATTCCCTTGGAGGCCTGGTAGGCCATCTTGGCCTTCAGCTGGAACGGAATGTCCGAGACCAGCTCGTTGTGCAGCAGCTGGACGCAGGTCAGACAACAAAAGAACGAAAAAAGCGACAGGGAAAGCGAAAGAGAAGAGCAGGGGGGGAGGGCAGCGTACATCGTGAAGGGAGCCGAGGGACATGAACTCCATGACGATGCACATCTTGGGCGCCTTGGTGCAGGCGGCCATGAAGAGCACCACGTTGGGGTGGCGCAACGAGGTCATGACCCGCACCTCCTCCTTGAACTGCCGCTCCATCTCCCTGGTGACCTGCTCCGAGGCCATCACCTTGACCGCCACCTCGGTGCCCTTCCACGTGGCCCGGTAGACCTGGCCGAAGCCGCCGCTGGCCAGCTGCTCGCCCAGCTCTAGCTCGTCAAGCCTGATCTCCCAGTCGTATGAGTCGCCTCGGTGCCTAAGCCTGGCCGCCACGAGCACCACCACGAGCACCACGAGCAGCCCGAGACAGACCAGGAAGCCCGACACCGGCAGTACGGTTGCTAGCGACACACGAAAGCCAGTAATGTGAGGAATGCGCGTGTGCGCGTGCGTGTGCGCTGCGGGGAGGGTACCGAGCACGATGACGGTCGAGTCGGAGCTGGACGAGGAGACGATCAGCTCGCAGTATTGGCCGGTCCTGGACGACGGGCAGGTGCAGCGGCCACTGTTGCACGTGCCCACGCTGGAGCACATCTCGCCGTCGTTGATGCAGCCGGCAAAGGCGCTCACGGCGACGCCATTGCACGTGGCCGCCTTGATTTGGTTGAGGAACTCCCGCTTCAGCGGATCCGCCACCGTCGCCAGAACGTACCCTTGCCTTCAGATCAGATTGACGCACACCCATCGAGGCACGTTCGTCAGCACACCGCACACGGCATATCGCACACGCACACGCATACAACACATATCAGCTACATGGGGGTGAAGAGCGCACTTGTTGGCTGTGTCGATGGCATCGGCGTCCAACTGGGTCCAGCCGAGAAAGTCCAGGAGCGCCTTGGCGTCGTCGCAATTGGTCATGGTCTGCTGTCGATAGACGATGGAGGCCAACGAGGCCAACGGCCAGGTGTCGGCTCCACCACCTGTGTCGCAAAGCAACGCATCAGATGAGTCGCATTGTAACGAGACTATGGGGCCGAGGTACCGTTGAGAAGCGAAGCGTAGGTGAGCCCTGGGGAGGTGTCGCTCCTTTTCGCCACTGGGGTCTCGGGCACGCTGGCCGCTCCGTAGGCCGAGGCAAAGTCGTTGATTGCGCTCTGCACGCTCTCCAGCGAGGGCTTCACCGCCTTGTTGGCCCGATTGAACAACGACGCGACGCCCAGGGTGCGTGCCTGCCAACCAATCACCGGCAAAGGTCAGGTCAACACACGACACACGACACACATGACACTCAGAGAACAAGAGAGCCCACCTGACGGACATCGTAGAGCGACCAGATGCCAAACGAGTAGCTGGTCGCTTGCAGATGGTCGATGAAGTCGTCTTCGCTCGAAGCCCAGAGCACGTTGGTCACGGGGAACGTTACGCCGCTGCCCACTCCAACCTGGAATGTTGAGTCCACACATTCTCAAGTGATGAGAATTCCACTGCAACCAAAGTGTTAAATAGGAGCTAAAAAATAGCGTACCGCGGACCCCCACCATGGGACTGTGGCGTTGAGCCAGCGGGTGTAGGTGGTCTGCACGGACGTCACGTTCTCCAACACGACCGTGATGGGCTGCGCGGGCAGGAGCCCGGCGACTTCGCCCAGGTTGATGGCCTGGATGCGCGAATCGTTCCACACCGTGATCTCGTTGGTCAGAATCTGCGCGATGACCTCCGCACTGAGCACCAGACTCTTTCCGGCCAGCTCGGGCATGTTGTACGCTTGAGGGAGGGAGTGGGTCGGGTCAATTTGTTGTCGACGCAGCCAAAAGCAGACCAAGCGGGTCGAAGAGGGACGCTGAACCTGGGACCAGGGGGAATGCGGCGAGCGGCAGCACGGCGGCGTCGGCGACGGACTCCCGCCAACCGGAGGCGCCCGCGTCAGCAGGCAGGCCGAAGTCGACGTTTTTGTCGGTGAGCTGCTGCTGGGCGGTGGCGGCCGAGGTCTGGTAGAACTTGAGCTTGTACTGGTTGGTCGACCAGGAGGTGGCCCAGGAGTTGATCAGCGTGAGCTGCCCGCCGGTGCCGACCAGGACCGACGACGAGAACGCCTTTTTCCCGTTGCAGCGCACGCCGTTGAGCAGCACCAGGAGCTGCTTTCGCAGACTCACATCCAGCGGCGCCACCAGATTCTCCTCCGCAGCATTCGACGCTCTGTAGCGCAAGTGTGAGCACACATTCATGTGTGCGTGTGCTTGTGCGTGCGTTGTGCGCTGGTGGCTCGTGTCGTGTGTGTCGCGCCGTGTCGTGTCGTGTGGGAGCGCGAGTAAGACAGCGTACTCGTCGTTGGTGTGAATCCAGGCGACAAAGTCGAGGAGCTCGCCCACGTTGGAGCAGTCGTCGGTGGTCTGGTTCTGTCGCATGGCAAAGAAGGTGAGATAGGCCATCGGCCACGAGCCTGCCCCGGGGGCGTCGAAGATGTCGATCCCGAACCGGCCCGCCGCGTAGTCCTGCTGGTAGTCGGTCATGGCCGACTGGAGCGACGCCACGCTGAGCTCGACCAGTCGGCCGGCCTTGTTGTACATCCGCGCCAAGTTGACCGACGACGCCGTCGCATTCGTCGTCGAGGCGGTGAGGCCGCCGGCAAAGTTGAGCCAGGTCAGTGAGTTCACAGTTTTCTGCGGTCGGCCGCACACGCACGCACGCAAACACAACACGACACGAGTCATGAGCGATTGGTCAGTGATTAAAGTGCTGACGTCAGCACTTTGAAAGGGAGGGAGAGCACCTGGAGCCAGGTGATACGAGAGGCCGACGAACCGCCGACACGCACGGCGAAGCCATTGAGGGCCGGGGGCAGCAGGGCGAAGGTGCGGTTGGCCGCGGCGAATACCTCGCGGAACTCCTCGCTGAAGCTCTCGAGGGTGAGCTTGAACACCTCGGTGAAGGTCAGAACCTTGGTCGTGTCGTTGGAGTAGCCCAGGCGGATCGCGTCGGGCGGCAGCTTGTGTGCGATGTCGGGGTTGAGCTCCTGGATGGCCGTGTCGTTCCACGCCGTGATCGAGCCCGCCCATATCGAGCCCAGCACCGTCCTATTCAAGATCTGCAAGCGCACCACAGTGCCAGTGTGTGGTTGCCGCGTGACCCGATGGCATCACGTCTTTTTTCAGCTTTTCCGATATTGGAACGCTTGTTTTCACGGTTTCTCGGCAACGAATTAACTGCGGAGGGAGATTGGGTCCATACCAGGGTGGGATCGGTTGCGCTGAGAGAGGGCAGGTTGTAGCCTATGACGATGCCCTGCCCGGCCAGCGGAAACTGAATGAAGTCTTCGTACGACAGGCCGCGCTCCGTAGCGACAAAGTCCTTTTGTGTGATTGTCGTTTTGGGGTGAGCTTTTCAGACAGGCCTGAAGACAGCTGAGGACGCGGCAGAACGACAGTGTACCACAGTGCCCTGTTCGTAGGAACGGAGTGCGCCGTTGGTGCCGCCTCCGTCATAGCTTATCCTGCGCACGCGCACGGTGTGTTGTCAGCCGGCCGCGCACAGTCGACGGGCTATTGAGCAACGTCATAAAAAGAACGAAGAAGAAGGAGGATGGGGCAAAGAAAGAAAGCGACGCACTGGACGACGTCGCGATAGAAGCGGTAGTCCTTGACCCACACGTCGTAGATGGCTCCCGACTGCGAGCTGCCCGAGCCCTTCAACTGGACCGTGCTCTTCGAGTGCGCCCAGCCTGGAAGCAAACCCATCAATTAGAAGATATTCGCTCTGGGGCGGACCGAAGGAGGATGCAGGCACCCGTCCAAAGGGCAAAGAGCATGAAGAGAGCCAGGGCACAGCGAACCGGGCTCCTCATCTTCGGCGTTGGTGGCGTGTTGTTGTGGTTTGTGTTCTGCTTGGCCAGGAGTGCTCCGGAGTGGGTTCGCATTGCCTCGCGGAACCAGACCGCGAGCTGATTGTCAGTAGCTGATGATTGGTCACACCGGTTTACTATTTCCTGTTCGAGGTTCCCGCGTATTGGCCACCGATATATCCGACCAACCAGGATATGTTGTCCAGCTATTGATTTAGTAAAATTTTATTAAATTTTATTTATAGTTTCAAACATCCTACGGAGGATATATAGTTTCGAATTTACCCCACGAACACAACATTTGGTCGTGTTCTGTGTCGCGGTTGCGTGTCCCTCTGTGACAGAGACTTGGTTGTTTTTGGTGTCTGTGTCTACATCAACGTTTCATAGGCGGCGTACTCGTCGTCTTGCACATACACGGGGATCGCGTCGTAGTCCATCTTGTTGGTGGATTCCTTGTGGAACACTACACACTCACACCAGACGTGCAGTAGAGTGTAAGCGGGGAGCAAGAGACGAAGCTTGCGGGTGGCACGCATCCTAGGTACGATCGTACCTTCCAGAAGGCCCTTGCCAAAATTTCGAATGACAAAACAGCTCAAGATGACCAGCACCACCCGACAGATGAGCGCAAACGTGCCTGCACGAGGCACATTGACGCAGCGCAGCGCAACACGCAAGGGAAGTCCACATTAGTGGCGTTGTATGACGAGTGTGTGTTAGAGAAGAAGGGGATGGCTGCGTGATGGTACCAAACACGATGACCGGCGGGACCTCATCGCTCGCAAATCGGTCTGGTTGAGTGACCGACGCAACGATGTACTTGACGATGATGTAGATCGGCTCCACTGGGGCGAACGCGAAGAAGCCCAGCATCACCCTGAAGTTCTCTCGACGAACCTGCACCCTCCAATGAGACAAAGATCTTCACTTCGCCACGGATCGTGTGCATAGGCGCGTACGCCATAGACGGTGGTGATGACGGCCCATATGATGCTCGCAACCACCAACGCTACGTCGACGATGATGTTGGCTCCTCGGAGAAGGAACTGGAAAGGGAAAGGCGCGGGTGAGCGGGCGCGAAGAAGAAGAAGAAGAAGAAGAAAAACGCTGCGTTGGGTCAAACGAGAGGCGACTGGCGCAGAAGATAGTAGGTACCATGCCCAGCATCAGGACACCAACGAGCGTCAGGAAGATGTCCATCTTGAGAAGTGACACGAACGTTTGGTAGACTTTGTACGCATCTGATGTTTGAATTGCGCGAAGGTCAGTGGTCGAGCGGGCCGTGAAGATCCGACTGCGTGTGCGCACACGCACGACACACGACACGCACACTCACACGACATTCGACACTCATACACGCACAACACGCACACGCACGCACACCAGAGAGCGAGTGAGTCAGGCCCTACGTACTAACAAGCTTCTTGTCGGAGCCTATTCGCTTGAAGACCCGCCTGCAGGATATGATCGTGAGAGGGAAGAAAAGAATCAGCAGAGCAGCGCAGCCAAAAAGAAGTGAGAACGGTGTACCATCCAAAGGAGTTGTAGACCAGGATGGCCAGCACAATATTGGCCAGGGCGAACAGGATGATGAAGGACAACCTGCAGACACATTCAGAGCAACGCATGAGTGCATGCTGTGTAGGTGGGGTGTAGTGCGCGCCCGCTGGCATTATGCGACGTGTTGGCGCGTGAGGGAGATGAGGGTGATGAGGTTGAGAAGAAGCACCGAATGTAGAACACAGGGTGCCGGTCCTCGATGAGAAAGCCAGCAAACGCAAAGAGAAGCAAAAGAATAGAGCCGCCCACGAAGGAGAAGAGCTCGAGCGTGTTCTCGAAGAGGATGCCGTCCACGCCAAAGTAGCCTGGGATAAGATGAACGGAAACACCGTCAACTCGAGCTGCGTGCTGCCAACCTTGCAAGGGGGTGCGCGTACCAATAAAGATGCTCATGATTATGAACAGGAAACCGCGCTTCATGGTGTCTTCGTTGCCATTTGCCATGCGCTCAATGGAGAAGCAGATTATTATCAAAACTTGGATAACAATCAAGAGCAGGTAGAGTTGGGAGCGACGCCGCAACTGGACCTGAGATTGAGAACAAAAACCAGATTAATCAAGTTTTAATGAATGATGGGAGGAAGGATGAATCTTAGAGGCGCGCGGGGATCATCTTACCCCGCCCAAGCTGGACAGGAAGAGGTACGACATCTTACAGGAGAGGTGGTGTTTGGATCCAGGTTTTCTCTTTTTCCTATTTTTTTGTTTGTAGACCGAAAAATGCAAAGAATGCAACTCCATGGGTGTGGACAAGCAACAAATCACAACAGCTGACCAAATCATACTAATGCAACATACTCTCCACCCTCACAAGTTGTGAGACCCAACTTTCCTACAGGATCAGTTTCTCTTCTTTCAATCCAAGGAATTATTCCAATTTCCTCTTAACTATTGATGTTTCTGAAATTTGTGGTGTGGAGGTGCAAAAGCTTGTGTGACTTGTGCACCCACATTTTCTGTCACACACCAGGATTCTCTCAGTTTCATTTTGGGAGCCCCAAAATAGAAAAATTGGGAAAATGGAATGAAAGGCAATTCCCAGTATCATTCCTGGTGGTGGAAGCCATTGTGTGTCTGTGCAAAAAGATACATTTCTAGGTTCACCTATTTTGCTTGTTGGTGTGCCAGAATCTGTGCCACCAATTTTTGCTTTGGTAAGAGTTCACCCAAAAGTGAAGGTCAACCTCTGCCCTTGGAATTTCAGAAACAACAAAACTAACCCCAGGTGTACAAGTTGATGGTATCTGCTGGGAAGCCATGCTGCAGCCACAGCATGACTTAGCCCTGTGTTCATTGGCTTTCCTTGTGCTTGTCTACAAAATGTCCTCACAGGAAATAAAAATGATGTGACCGTTGGTGGCCGTTGGAGAAAGTGCACTTGCAAATCAGTATTGATCCAAGTTACAGCACCAACACTACGCAGCAGATGTCTTCGGCACGAAAGAAGGCCAGCAAGAAGGCCGCAGAGAGCGACAGTGAGGGCCGACCCTCGCGGACGAAGAGGGCTCCCTCCAGGCTTGACCCCAGCAGCGATGCGGGCGAGCTGTCGGGCGGTGAGACGCCGAGGCGTGGAGGGAGCAGGAGGAGAAGCGTGAGCGTCGAGCGCAAGAAGAGGAGGGGGCCGGGCAGGCCCAGGAAGACGGAATCTGCACGCTCGAAATCGCCAGCGAAGAAGAGGGTGACAGCTCACAAGCGCCGACGATCAGTCGATTTGGAGAGGGAGTACGAAGTCGAGCAGTTCCTTGATCTGCAGCTCCTCGTAAAGTGGAAGGGCTATGCCAAGAGCAGCGCGACGTGGGAGCCGCTAAAGAATCTGCAGACGTGCGACGAGATGGTGGTGGACTACTTGGAGAAGGTGAAGCAAAAGCTGCTCGCCCAGATGGAGAGCAAGAGCTCGGAGGAAGAGACGAAGGAGGGAGAAGGCGAGAAGGAGAAGGAGGGGGAAGGCGTGGAGACTCCCAAGAGGAAGAGGGGCAGGCCACCGAAGAAGGCCAAGGTGACTGAGAAGGCAAGTGAAGAAGAGGTGGGAGACGAGAAGGAAGCGGACGAGTAAGGAAGGAGATCGAGTGTATCTGGGAGACAAGAAATCACCTCCACGCCGATGGGGGACGACATGTATGCGAGATTTGTTTATAAATTAAATTAAGCCACGACTCGCGGCTCGGTCTTGATCACGCAGTCACCTCCGTGCTTCTTGATTTCGGTTTGGATGGCCTCGACGGCCTTCTTGAGGAGAGCAACGCCGCGCTCGTGATCGGTGGACGAAGTGAGGAGGATGTACTCGGGAGACGTGACGAGCTGGATGCGGACGGGCGAATCGGGGGTGCTGCACTGCTGGCCGGCGCGGAGGGCAGGCTTGATGGCGTCGATGCCCTCGTAGGAGAAGCACGTCACCTGGATGTCGGCCTGGATCTTGACGGGCTGGCTGCCCAGGCGATGCTGAATCGTCTTGAGGATGTTGTCCTTGATCTCGG